AAATAAGTATTTATATTTGTGTACAAGCTGTTTAGAATGTCAAAAAGCCTGTGTTTTTAGGGTTATTAACAAAGTTTGTGTACTCAGACCAGTAATATTTGGAGTCACAAGTTTTTGCCATGGATATTTTGTGGGTCAGAAGATAAAAAGTTTGGGAACCACTGGTTTACGGTATAAATCTTTCTTGGCTGTGAATCTCGACAGTGACATCTAGTGGCTGAAAGTGTTAAAACAACCAGAGCGGAAAGGGCGGGGCTTCTCAGCCAATAGTCTCGTTGGATCTCGCGATGCTGTACAACTATATAACAGCTGTTAGCCCCTCTCTAGCTCTCTTTCAATCGGACGGGAGACAAAATGGTGAGTTCAGTATCGTGATGTCTGATCACCTCACAAGAATCCACGAATCATCGGATGCATCCCTTGTTTTTTGCTGCTGAAAAACATACGAATAACGTTCACTAGTGCTCCTATTAAGATTTTTACAAGCATTTCGATGTTTTGTCCGAAATTGTAGCTTTCGGGATTCATGCTTAGCCACACCGGCGACTCAATTTCCAAAATGGCTGCGTAAACTAGGCCTTTGCGTGTCTTTTTTTTTGTAAACTTCTAATAATTATTAACACCAAATTCCATTTTAAGTAGCTACTGGATTAGTCTTAATTACAAGTTTGTGCTATATTATTTGGGGTTTTGTAATTAAAGCTTAATAACTTGAAACTAAACCATGTTGCAGAATGTTAAAGTTGACTCCAGACACTAAGCAGCTAACTGTTTCTTGTGTTTCACAGTCCCACCGTAAGTTTTCGGCTCCACGTCACGGGTCTCTAGGCTTTCTGCCCCGGAAGAGGTGCAAGCGTCACCGGGGTAAGGTAAAGAGCTTCCCCAAGGATGACCCCAGCAAGCCCGTCCACCTGACTGCCTTCCTGGGCTACAAAGCTGGCATGACCCACATCGTCCGTGAGGTCGACAGGCCTGGCTCGAGTGAGTACAGGACTGCGTTGTACATACATAAAACTTGGGTTGTTTTACCTGGAGTAAGTGATTATGAAAAGGTTCTGCATGTGATGAAACCGTTGACGGGCGGACTGAATGGGTTTATACCCCCTTGCTGAATGTCAACAACTGATTGCAGTCTAAACCAGTGGTTCCCAAACTTTATCTTCTGACCCATAAACTATCCATAGTAAAATCTTGTGACCCCAAATATTATTGATCTGAGTACACAAACTTCATTAATAACCCTAAAAACAAAGGCTTTTTGACAATCTAAACAGCTTGTACACAAATATAAATACTTATTTTTACTTACTTTGTGTTTTTGTAATAATTTTAGGGAAAATATTACATGAGCAATTATTTTATTAGCCTTTAAATTTATTTCTGGAGATTATCCAAGGTGCTTCATGACACATAACTGGGTCCCAAGCCCAACTTTAAGAACCAAAGTGCAGTGGTTCCCAAACTTTTCAGCTTTTGACCCACAAAATAACAGTAGCAGAGACCTGTGCCCCCAACTATTTTTGAATGATAAACATTTGCATCATGTCAACTAAACATGGGCATAGTAACAATGCTTTTATACTACATTTATCCATTTTAAATTTACTAACTTCAGTCCTTTGTAACAATAAAGGCAAAAAATGTAAATTAATTAAAAAAATTTCAGGACCCCACCTTGATGTAGCGGGGTCCCGACCCCAACTTTGGGAAACACTGGTCTAAACCACAAAACTGTACAAATATTTCCTTTTACTGCTTCAACTAAACGAGCTTTTCTTTTTGCACAGAGGTGAACAAGAAGGAAGTAGTTGAGGCCGTGACCATCATCGAGACTCCTCCCATGATGGTGGTCGGAGTCATAGGTTACGTGAACACCCCCCGTGGCCTGCGTTCCCTGAAGACCATCTTCGCCGAGCACATCAGTGACGAGTGCAAGCGCCGCTTCTACAAGAACTGGTGAGTTTGAACACGAGCCGTTCTCTTCATGTGAAGCAGATGTTAGTTGCCAGTGAAAATGAGTCAGAACCGTGGTTCACTGAGCGGGTCTAACATTCCGGTGCCCCTCCTCGTGGCAGCTCCGCTCAGGTGCCTCGCGCCCTGATGAGCCCCGGGCTCCTCTGGCCGGTGGAAAGTGCTTCTTAGAAGCCGAGCCATGAGCCGAAACCCCTCTTGGCTGACGCAGCCCCCTTTGTCTCGACGGAGGGAGAGCTCTCAGCCACGCACTGTGTTCCTCCGCTGTCCCCCTTCGGGGTCATGAGGGACCCGTGCCAACAGTTGTCATGTTTTTGCTGCCGTCAGGTACAAGTCTAAGAAGAAGGCTTTCACCAAATACTGTAAGAAATGGCAGGATGAGGACGGCAAGAAGCAGCTGGAGAAAGACTTCGCCGCCATCAAGAAGTACTGCGAGGTCATCAGAGTCATCACTCACACCCAGGTTAGTAAGTCTGGATCAGGTTGATGTTACGGTCCTGTTCTGTCGGTGATGAGACCACGGAACCTGCGTCAGGCATGGCGCCTGATAACTATGAGGATAGCTTCCATGCTGCCTTCCTTCTGAGACTCTAAAGCCCGAATAAGTTGTGATGCTCAGTTGGTTTTGTGTTTCCTGTGCTTGACTTGTGTTTTCTGTACAGATGCGTCTGTTGCCTCTGAAGCAGAAGAAGGCTCACCTGATGGAGGTGCAGCTGAACGGCGGCACCATATCTGATAAGGTGGACTGGGCTCGTGAGAAGCTCGAGCAGGCTATCCCCATCAACACAGTCTTCACCCAAGACGAGATGATTGACATCATCGGTGTTACTAAGGGTCATGGATATAAGGGTAAGTGTGTACTCCCTCCTTTAACCCCGGTACCTGGAGCAAACACCGTTTCCTGTTTTCTATATCTTTAATCTTCTGATCTTTCAAATGAACTTGGACATGTTTGATATAAATAGAAACCAAAGGATCTTTGCTAAAATCTCATGGAAACTATGTTTACATTGACCCAACAGTTCAAACATCAAGCAGTTGAATCAGAAAGTAAACAAACTACAAAATGGGATTGTTGCAAAGCTGTAAATGCATTACAACAAATCTGTAAAGGAAATATTTTAGACATTTGTTTTTAAAGCAAGTCAAAGCCGATACCTAAATATGTTATAAAGTCTATTTGTTACTTTTGAGTAATAATGATCCAACTGAAGTCAAATATAATTTCTCATTATTTTATGTAATATGGTGACAAATGTTTAAATAATTTTTCAAAAGAACAAACACTTAATAAAAAGTCTTTAAAGGCAGGTAAGAAAAAATAAATAACTTTTGGGTGTAAAAACTTCAGATTTCTTAACATTTATTAATGGTACCATCATGATCTGGCCTGTGCAGAATGATAAAACACTAAATTATTTCTTTACTAAAACCTCTGTAACTTTGCTCCTGTTCATTTTAGCAGCATGAATCTTTGCACAGGTGATGTCCACAAGTGGATTTATGGTTTCCAAGAGTTTTTAGCCTGATTCATTATGCTTTTAAATAGGTTATACTGTATAATCTAAAAAAAAAATTTCGGAAGGAAGGGAAAATAATAATGTTCCATCCTCAGTATCTCTAAAACAGCAGCTGTTTTAATACTTACACTTCTAATAAAATCTCCCAAGTGTTATCTTAATTTTGATACCAGGATTATTTAAGTAGAATTTGTAAATGCTGAGATACACTCAGTTACATTTCAGAATGGTATTTAGAACAAAAGCATCAAGAAAACCCCTTAAGGCTTAAGTGGTTAAGATATTAAACTGAGGACTTTTAAAAATGTTTAACATCACCGTGTTTTGTCTTAGGCGTCACCAGCCGTTGGCACACAAAGAAGCTTCCCCGCAAAACTCACCGTGGTCTGCGTAAGGTGGCCTGCATCGGCGCCTGGCATCCAGCCCGTGTGGCGTTCTCCGTGGCCCGCGCCGGTCAGAAGGGTTACCACCACCGCACAGAGATCAACAAGAAGATCTACAAGATCGGCCAGGGCTTCCACACAAAGGACGGCAAGGTGGTGAAGAACAACGCCTCCACAGAGTACGATCTGACCAACAAGAGCATCAACCCCCTGGTGAGAAACTTTTTAAAAGTTGGAGAGTGAAAACGCTTGGTCAGGATCATGTCTGAGTACGCTGTCCTCGTGTTACAGGGTGGGTTTGTCCACTACGGAGAGGTC